ATTCAGGTATTGGCCAAGGCCAAACTGGCTTAGCTTCAGTCAATCAGCAGTAGCAGGGTTGACATTGGTATGGCTGCTGGACACTTAGTTGCGATGGTTAAGGGGAGGGTTAGGGGGCTAGAGAACGCATAATGATGGGATTATGATGATTGTGACACAAGGCTGTATGTCTGTCTGTCTCTCCCTCCCAAGAATGGCGCAGACAGACAATGCATACTGATTCATATTGATTGATTGATCGATCCAGATAATCACAGCCCCTTTGCTGCATCACAAACAGGTCATATGACTTCTCTGTCTGTGTTAAAGGGGATCCTATTGGAAAGCAATAGGTTCAGTGTGCAGCTATCAGTGCTGGTGGCTCTTGGAAACAAGGGTGCTGACCAAAAGCTAAAAGTGGCTCTGTCTAGTCCTGCATGTTCAGTACTTTTGCCTCACATTTGAATCTAATTGACAAAAGCATTTTCTCTCTCTGTTGCTAATGAGGACCGTGTCACGTTGTTTCTTTCAAGAAGATGTCAGCCTCTCAACCACAGCTCTGAGCACTGACTCGACACCGACAGTGTAAAGTGAACCAGCAGATTATTTCTGGAACTAAACTGCCCTGAAGAGGCATGATTCATTTAATGTTTGTAAAAATGTTCCTTGTTATGCTGACAAATGTATGGGTCATTACATACTTACTTATCAGGGATCCCACCTGGTTTTGTTAATAATTTGTTGTTTTAGGTAACAGGCATCATGGTTTTATTAGCTGTTGAATTTAAGTGCATGAATAATGAACTTTATATGAAGAGCACTGTGAAGAACATTTATAAAAATATTCCTGGAAAGAGCTGTGGAATTGCTTTGTTTTTTTTTTTTACCAATTATGGGGAAATAGAGACAATGTTCAACCTGTACACTTCCAAGTAATCAAATCCAATCAACTGCTAGTGTCACTATAGAGTCTTTTAGGCACTGCACAACAGGTCAGCTGAATGTGCAAAAATGTGAAACTTATTTACAGGCAAACACTATTTACTTCTGTTTAATGGAGCAGTTATTTCAATTATTATATTTTCCTTGGAAATTACTGCAAAATTATAATTTTGGAGCTGTAAATTAAAGTATTGCCAACTCTTTAGACTTCTCCTTCTTCTCCTTTTGTGAAAGCAACATAAACCATGAATTGGAAGAGACAGTTTAAGACTGGCTGCAAGTGGAGATTTGTGAAGATACGCACACTTACACATGGGTGAAAAATTAAAGGAAAAACCCAGCATGAAGGTGGGTGTTGGGCCATCACAAACTGCAAGAACTGCTTTAATACTCCTCGGCAGTGATTCTCCAAGTCTCCGCAACACTATGAAACATCATCCTTCCTAAAAGACACTCCTTTATTTGGTGTTTTGAACACATCAGACTAATATATCTCATAGGTGGTCATTAGGGTTGAGAGCTGGTGACGGCGGCCATAGCATCATTATGATCATTTTCATAGTAATGAAACCATTCAGTGACCCCTGCTCTGTGCCCTGTATGGAAAGGGTCTGCATTTGTCTTGTTTTTTCAGTCATTTATTTTTGACCCATTTCGTATGTTAATGAGAGATAACAGCATTTCAATAAAGAAGGAAAATTTTGCTAATTAAGCTGTCTGTGAAGATTCTCAGTCATCCAGGTCATAGTTATCCAAGGAAGGTTCACATCAAAGGCAACTGGTTGAAGATATTTGGACACTTTTCGCCTCTCATCTGAGATTTGAAGAAGCCCTTTGGAAATGTTGTTCTACGTCAGTGTAGAGCAACAGCTTCTTTACCCTTGGTAAAACAGTTATTTCACACTGTGTGATGGACATTTGCTCCTTAGTTACACATGATTGGTCTCTCAGTACAACATGAGCAGTAACCCTTTCAACAAAAGGTCCTGTATTGTCAGTCAGAGCACCTGATAAATCAATTTAAACTCCATTTTTCGCTTGTGAACTCTATTCATTGTGCTCCACACACGTGTCATGTTCCCTTCACAGCAACTTAAATACGTCTCCACCTCCTTCTTAAACCATCACCACCTGTCCTACATCCTGTCAAACTGTCAAATCACTCAGCCTCAGCTTTTAGCTCAATGTCAACATGCTGGGAAAAGCCACTTAACATCATGGCAAATGTTACTCGCCTTTTTTGCACAATGAATAATTCAGCAAGACGATTAGTTTCAAATGAAGTAAATAGAGTTTCATTAAGTTGTCACTGACATTAAGTAATTTCAAAAGGATGTGTCGTAAGTGGAAAACAAGGTCAAAATTGTTTTAAAAAAAACATTATAAGAAATTAATAATTGCAGTCTTAAATTATGAGTTAAAAAGTCCCTATATTAATGAACTAAAGAGCCAACTGTGTCTTTGAAGCAAGACAGCGTAACTTTTGAAAGTAGAAATAACACAATATTCCCCTTACAAATGAAGCTGAATTTGTAAGGAATAAATAAAACCCTGTTCAATTCAATGTACTCAAGGGTTTTCCCGCTCAAGCTTACTTGGTCTGGTATGAGCGGTAGCTTAGCAAGCTTTAGAAAGGTTATTTGTAAGTAATAATGAATGAGGTTTGCTGACTTTACAGATCTTCCCGGGGCTCCTGTTACACAACATCGCAGCATATGCCACAGATAAACATGATGAAGTCTTTAAAGAAACTCACTCAAGGGAATCCTGTGAATTCAAATATGTGATTACACTGTAGCTCCACTTGTGGCCCCTGTGACCGCTATTTAGGAAAAGGGACTTTGGCTTTAAAGCTGCCGAAACGTTTTTACACTGTGATTTTTTGATTACACTTCCAAACACCACCATCAGCAGTTATTGAACCTTGAGCAGACAGTCTTTATGTTACTGAGTCTGAAATGAAAAGTACACTGTCAAACGTCAGTTTATCAAACACAATGTCCATAATATTTTTTATTCACATAATGCACTGTGTCCAGACAGCATTGGTTCTGGCACCAAGATCCTACAACCCATCAGGTTAGCAGACTTATCTGCATTAATTCTGCCCTATGTGTTGCTTTAAGTCTCCTGCTCTTTCACAGCCTCAATGTCTTCTGTTAGAAACCAGCGGCGAATTCTTTCCCTACGTGTCTTGTATTCTGTTGAGTTATTTGTTGTTTGTATTGTTTCTCTAAGCCACTTAAGTGCAGAAGCTCACTATCACTACAGTCATGGCCTGCTGGTAATTAAGTTGTTACATGGTGCCACCATGTGGCCTTACATGCACGGTTTCTCTCACATATATACAGCAGACACTACCAGGAAAATTTTTATAATGGACATTTAACATTTCTGAGACTTTGTATGCGGAATTCATTTTGTATGCATAAAATTTTCTGTGCAACGGCCAAACAATATTTCAGTATTTGTAACTATTAGTGGCCAGTGCAACAGATTTTAATTCTGATTATAAACTGTATTGTGCATTGTTTTGAATGACAAATGTTTCTGTGTGATGTCTAGAATCCTTTGAAAATGGCAGGTGGATGGCTGCCTCTTTTTATAACAGTGTATTTAATAGCTGTTATGTTATACTGTAGTTGGAACAAAACAAATAATTTGGCTTTCAAAAGTATTTAGCCTTTTCTTATAACAAAAAGAACATGCATGCTGAGCCATAGTCGCGAGCATAAAGATGTAAAGAGAGGCTTGACAACTGTAATAGGATCAGCACCCCTTACACTCCCGCTCACATCAGCCTTCATTACCACCAGCTTTGAGCAGGATTATTGTGCCTAGGTGATGCTTATTCACTGTAGGTGTTAATGTTTGTTGGTTCTGCTGATGCATGTATTATACATGCATTCCATACAGCATCAATGCACTGACTCTATTCCTTATTTTCTCTGAATTTAGTTTAAAAACTGACTGTATTGCAACTGTGCTCTCCCTTTGTCTATGATATGTATATAAAATAATCAGATTATTCCTCGCAAAGTTCAGTAAAATAAAAAATGCCTTCAAACCAATTTAGTACATATTGCCACAGCATTTGATGTACTCATTACCCAACACCCAAAACAGCTTCACTAATACTAAGACAGAAATGCATATTGTTAGTAGATAAAAAATACATTTTTGCATTATTTTATCTTTTGTTTTGCTTTTACCAATAATTTTATTACCGCTTCCCTATTTGTCTGCCTCCCTCCATACCTCAGTTGCTGTGAATCCTCTTAGAGGTGGATTATGGGACTAAGATGTCTACACTGAGAGGGAGAGAGAGGAAAAGAGAGAGTGAGGGAGAGAGAGATGGTGAGACAGGGGATGAGCATGAGACACACATAGTGATAGAGAAAGTGATAAAAGAAGAAAAGACGCAGGAGAAAATGGAGAGAACCCCTCGGCCTGAAATAGGCCGGGAATGGGGTAGAAGAAGGTCTGTAACTGGGGTGAGTACTGCCATTTCCAAAAGTGCAACAAGTGCAAATTTGTCACTCCATAGGAGCACAATACCACATTTTGTCATGTCATCTGTGCATATGTGTATTTTATTGAGTAAGGCGTTGAAAGTTAGAAAACATGAAGACTGTTACCTGCCTTCGAATTAAGCTTAGTTAAAGTCAAAACCGTAGTTTGGCTTTAATGGCAGGTGACGTGTGCAAGCTTGTGTTTGTGTGTGTGTGTGTGTGTGTGTGTGTGTATATTGAGTTACCTGAGGACTAACAGTTATGTGATAGACTGAGGGGATCACCTGTCTCTTAATTAATCTCACTTTCCTCCATTTATATGCTAGAGACAAGGGTGTGTGTGTGTGTGTGTGCTCGTGTGTAGGAGACAGAGAGAAAGAACAAAAGAACATGACTTTGTGTGCTAAAGGTGTCTTTATGAGGTAGACGATAGCATAATACACTAATTTTCTCAGTTTTTGTCCTTGTAGGAAGAGCCAGCCGAGCCTCACATGGTGAAGCACACACTCCCGTGTCGCAGCCCCGCTCTCACTGACCAGGCAGGAACAGACTAACTGGGCAGCAGCAATGTCCCTCCTGTCATTAACCAACCCTCCCGGCTGGAGCGTGTGCTCTGCTCTCTGTATCCTCATCGTGTTGCTTCGAGAGGTCAAAGCAGACAACCTGAACACTACCACTCAGCGCAATGGCGGGGGATCCCAGTGTGGGGAGTACACTAACCAGGTAGTTACTGTAAACATCCCAAATAGGCCAAAGTGATGATCTCTGAACAAGTTGCTGAAGAAAGAGACTTATTACTGCCTTCTCTATCCTCCTTTTACTCCAGAAATGTGTCAGCTTTGTGAAAGAGCATCTCAACTCTGCAGGAATTTTAAATAATATTTCATTTTCTACTATATTTACAGTGAAAAAGTATGTACTCTGATCCTGTTCAAGGAAAAGTACCAATACAACAATCTAAAATATTCTTCATTAACACAGCTACTACTTGAGTAAAGGTATTATTAAAATATACTCAGAATAACAAAAGTAAAAGTACTTGTTGTGGCCTCTGTGACTGATATATTATTATATATCACAATAGTAGATACTTAATACTACTATGTATCAGTGTGTAAGGAGCATTTTACAGATGTATTCGGTTGCTGTATTTGTAAGTTGCAGCTAGTTCATCTACTTTAGATATAGTTTGGTAGTTTAGTGTAGTGGTACACAACCAAGGGGTCAGGCCCCTCCAGAGTCACATTTTTTTTTTAAAATTTTTTACATTTTTATTCATTTAGCTGACGCTTTTATCCAAACCTCTGGAGCAACTAGGGGTTAAGTGTCTTGCTCAGAGACACAATGGTGGATGGGTCACAGTGTAGGATTGAACCGGGGTCTCTCACACCAAAGGTGTGAGTCTTATCCATTGCACCATCACACCCTCACACCCTCTGAAGGGTTCCATTTTGCTGCAGAAATCTATATTCATATTTAGAACTTTTCTCGAAACTTTGCTTTTTTTGTGCAAAATAATAATAATAATCAACAATAAACTAAATAAAACCCTGCATAATATTTTTACCTCTAAATATTATGTTCATACTGTACCTGGCAAATGCTGTCAAGAATGATGTCTTACTGAATACTAAATACTGTATGATCAACTGCCAACCACCAGAGGTGTTCATGTTATATATTGTACTGTCAACAGGGGTTATTGGTAATATGGATAAAATCCTCTGTTGCGTAATCTCGACATCTTGCTGAATTAACTCAACTTTTTGGGAAATAAATTTAAAGACAATTTACATATAAAATAATAGAAATGTGTGTTTTGGGGCAATCTAGTGAATTCAATTCCCTAAAATCAAAATATTTCATTACAACATTGCACACTGGCCTTATGCATGCAGGGATATCAAGGAGATAGCTATCACAGTACAAACAGTATAGTGAAGGAATTTATACTACTTGTAAATGAAGGAAAACAAGATTCTCTTCTTTGCATTTGATAAGGAGAAAAATTTTCATAGTTTTTACCTAAACAAAGAGTCCACAGCAATGCCAGCAGCTCTATGTGGCTACTTCCAGACAGGGGTGATGTGCTATTGGCAATTCTAATATGGTGATGCTAAGCAGATACAATGTTCTCCATCTTAATGAAGTTGGTTAGCATGCTAATAGCTAAATAATATTAAACGTGGATGGGAATTTAATTAGTTGAAGGTATTTGGTCATCAACCAAAGTTGGCCTACTGGACACATTAGTGACTACAACTCAGAGGGGGATAAAAAAATTCTGAGAGGTACCAAATTTCATTGCCAGCCCTAAAGCCATGCTGCTAGAAAGGCTATAAGTGACTAATTTGATTAGTTATCAAAATTTGAATGATTAATTAGTACCTGAAATATTCATTAATTCACTGATTATATCAGCAGTAATTCAGGTAATAAAGGGTGTAAAAGTATGAGATCAGCTTGTGGCTGGTTTGTAAGGACATGACATTGAAGAAAAAAACTGTCAGAATCCAATGTGCTGCAGTTAAACTTTGAATCCGACAGAACTGATTGATTTGCCAGAGAAAAAATCTGACTTTCGTTTTATTATTTAGGCTAGTCCTTGTTTTGGTTGTGGTTGTGAAGAAATTAACACATATTTTGACACTCAGGAAGTTAGGAGTTGTTCAAAAAAGTGTCTCCTCCATCTCAAACAGGTGTTGGAGGATGGGATGTGTCGGCTGGTGGCCACTCTGCCTCAGCTGGATGAGCAGAAATGCCCGGATATGTTTCGCTGCACAGATGAGGTTTCCTACTGGCTGCACGAGAACGAGGAGAGGAAACAGCAGATTGCGGCGCTGAAGGAGACCATCTCTGAACTGCAGGAGGAGCTGAGGAACCATCGGCACCGCATCAAAGTCCTGGAGCTGCAGGTGAGATTTCCATGTCGACTTAGATGACCTGGATCAACTATCAGCCACAATCCTTTCACCTGCTTTGAGTTCCTGCTTTAGTCCACCTGGATCTCACTATATGTTGTAACAATGTGACTGTTCCTTTTTACGACTAAAGTAGTGTTTTTGCTCATTTGGAAAGAAAACCTATTCTGTTCCTCTGTGTGACATTAAATATAACATTTCAAAGCCGGACTTAAAAAAAAATAAAGAAAAAAAATTACTTCTTTTTTATATTTCCTCTGCTCAGGGCCTCTTGGTTTGGAGACAGTTCAGACTAGACATAAATATTTGATCAAGTAAGTCTTGATCGTGGTTTGAATAAATGTGTAGGCAAACTGTTGATGGAGTCAACTTTCCTGAAATTGTTCTCCTTATAGTCTGACTTGCTGTTAAAGATAATGGTTTGGTGAAACACATCACATTAGTTGTGTTCAGTTCTGCACTGTGACATGGTGCCTCGTCATCAAGCTGGCTTCCCCCCCAGCATGTCCTTGACCTTAGTCTCTAACAGGATTAGCCTTCTACTCTTCCACGTGTTGCCTCATGCGTCTCAAGCAGTGAGCCTATACAAACTCAAGTGGACTGGATGGTGGCCAAAAGTGGATGATGAGGAAGGAGAGGGCTTGTGTGTTGTGTGCGTTCTACATGAGAACAGGGCAGGGGGGGAGAGAGATCCAGTGTTTGTGGTAATGGGAGTTAGTGTTATCCTCCAAGTCCAGGCTAGGAATAAACCACATACTGAATGTCTGGCTTTCATTGCATGTTTGAGTATTAACGTATGTTTATGTTCAGTAGTCAATTGTCATAAGTGACAGAAATCTTCAAAGATATTTTAACATAAGCATAACAAAATGAGGTGATGATTGCAATAACCACATTTAAATCACACTTTCAAACATGTCAAAACAGAAGAAATAAACTAACCTTGTGAAATATGCCAAAATTAGAAAAGCAGGAAAAAGCTTTCAGATGTTGCACTTTAATGGTGCATTGCTGTCATAGCAGGTGGGAGCCAAAAGAAAAACAGAATTAATACACGTGTGTGTGTGTGTTTTTCTTTGTGCATATTTTTGTCCTTGAATAACTAATGAAATGCATTAAACCTAGCATACTTAATGTTTATTTAGTGTTTATTCAGTGTCATTTATAGCTGAAGAAATGCAAGTGCAAGTGCAAGTGGGCATTGGAAGTTGCCATGAAAAAAAAATAAAGCACTATATCTTAGTTTCAAAAAGTTTGTGATCCACTGTTTTACAAGTTGTTTTGGCTTTTTATTAAATAATTAGCACTATGCCTAAAACACATATCAAATACTATACATTATATAATTATTAATACACATTTAGAGCTAATTCAAGATACAGCCTCATTTAAATACAAGACAAAGTTTTCCACCTTGAAAACAGATCTCAGCTAATGTTTTTCTGTGTGTGCGTGCTTGTGTGAATGGGTTTTCACATGTGTGGTGTCAGAGTGAAGAGAGGAACCACTTGAATATCTCCTTGGAGCAGCGTTTTCATGAGATGGAGGCTCACTATGTTGAAGCCACCACCCTGCTGCACCTACAGGGCACTCTCATCCTAGATCTCCAGGTATACCCATAATAAGTCGTTAAAACCCCCCAACTATGTGCACTGCAAGTTTTTTAACTTTATTGTTGATAATAATTTCACTGTATTTCTGTTTAGAACCAACTCCATAATCTGACACTTTTGGTGGATAGAGTAAAAAGAAGCCCCGGGTGCTTGATCAACATCGTCCGCCCCAACCCACTGATGAGCGCTCAAGAAGCTCTTCACCCAGGTACACGCTCTCAGAAACATGCAGTCACTCGTGCTATGATCTGCCAGCAGAGGGCGCCAAGCCCCCACTGCAGATTTACTGCTACTTTCATGTCACATTTTCTTCCTTCAGAGATTCAACATGTGAGGAACTGTCCCATAGACTGTGCCTCCATCTACTACAATGGAGTGCGAAGATCAGGTCTCTACACAGTAGTGCCATCACTGGCCGGCATGCCTGTGGAGGTGTATTGCGACATGGACAAAGATGGTGAGTCACATGCCATCACACAAGGGGTAGGAAGTTGGCTTAGCTGTGACTGTATTTCCACTGAACTGCCAGAGTTTCAATCCATGTGTTGACAAGCACACACTCTGCTCTGAGCAAGACACTGAGCACCAACTTCAGGTTTGCTGTAGTGCCTTTGACCTGATGAGAAGAAATATAGTAACCCATTAGACAAGGCATATGCTTTCCCTTCCAGTGCGATTCATTCTCTTTGCCTCAGGTGGTGGCTGGACTGTGATCCAGCGGCGTGTTGACGGCTCAGTGAGCTTTGACCGCCCCTGGAGGGACTACAGGGACGGATTTGGTGACCTGCACTCTGAGTTCTGGCTTGGCAACAAACACATACATGACCTGAGCACCCAGGGAGACTACAGCCTCCGCATTGACCTGGAGGACTGGAGTAACAAACACAAACACGCCCTCTACCAGAGCTTCAGGTCAGTGTCAAGCACAGGTGCACAAAACATGCACTTACCAGCTGTACCTCTTCGATCACTTCCCTTCTGTCCCTCTGTATGCGTTTGTGTGCAGTGTGGACGACGAGGAGCATCAGTATCGTCTCCATGTGTCGGGCTTCAGCGGGACAGTGCAGGACTCTTTCAGCTGGTACCACGACAAGCAGGGCTTCAGCACCCCCGACAGTGGCAACATCTGTGCTGAGATCTCCCACGGTGGTTGGTGGTACAACCAATGCTTCTATGCCAACCTTAATGGGGTCTACTACAGGGTAAGTGTACACAGAGGGCCCTTCCCTTCATATTTTTTTAAAGTCATGAGATATTTACTTCCTCCTAATCCTTCAGGGAGGCCATTACATCCCTAAAGGCCGGGGGCCGCTGGGTCCTGATGGGATCGTTTGGTACTCCTGGAGAGACTCTGACTACTACTCCCTACGCAAAGTCAGCATGATGATCCGCCCACGCAGCTTTCGGACCCGTCTTTCACCCTGACCCACTGTCTTCATGACAACGATTAGGATGCGGGGACAATGATGTGACAACAGTGATCATGTGGGCGTGTCACTGGGACATCAATTGACAGAGCTTATCAAGAAGGAAGTGAATGTCAATTATGTCAACAACAGTGCAACCAGAGAGATGTGGAAATGGCTTCTCTTCTGCTATTTTTGGGAGAGGAAGAAAAAAAACTCTGCAAGCTTGATATTCCCCAAAACTGCTGACTCATTTTATAGCAGCATATTTTTGATTAACACAAAACTTTATACTGTAGAGTTTTTGGGACATGGACATTTTTCACTCAGTCACAGGAAGTGAGTTCTTCCTTATTTTCTACTACTATTTTGTACCTTTAGTTTGATACTTTGACACACTATTAGCAACCCAGCCAAAACAAAAAAGGAGGTACATTTGCATGATGTGTTGACAGAGGAGTGAAGGGATCTCACAGTTCCTACCAACCAGAGGAGGCACGTGCAACTGGCAGGCAGATCACTTGAGACTGTTCGAACGCTCGGCATATGGTGTTTGCTCATTGCATATTTATGATTACTCCATTATTATCCCATTTTGCTACTACAAACTATGAATTTAATCGATTGTGTAAACTTATTGAAATCAAAAGGATTTAAATATTACTCAAGTCAGACAGAAGAACACTGACTTATGTTAGATATAATAACCCCATCCTTTTAAGTGCTACTGACTCACAGCCTAGGGTCAGGCAGAGAAGATGTGCTATTTGAGGATTGTGTATACATACACATTGTATGGATAAAAAAAATAAACATATATACAAAACCTGACATAAAGGGGGCTATTTAATATAAACACAATGGTTCAAGTTCTGCTAGAGCACTCATGTGAAAACTAATATCGGTGACTAACAGGTGGAAATAATAGATAACTTCTGTACACAGTTTATTTGTGGAATACAGCGTTACGGACATTGAAATTACTTCATACATGGGTTTCCACAGACCTTAAGCCTATTGGCAGGTTGGTGCTGAGCAGCGGTAAGGTCATTTATATGTTCACGTTAAACTCTTAGATGACCTGAAAATAATATGACCAATGTTTTGCAAGATATTATACATAGCATGAGAATATTTTTATTGCAAAATGTATATATTTTTTAAACTTTGAAATGAGCCTAGCTCCAATGAAGGCCTTAACGCCCTTGAACACATACATTTAAATTTAACTAACAAAGACGAGACTGAATGTACTGTCTGGTGTTCAAGATCCCCTCAGCTGGCTACTTTATGTGGCCTACACATCCAGCTGCACCTGATGGGCGCGAGAGCTAAATGTGGGGTAAAAGGGCTCTTTCACCTCCTCCACTACAAGACTGCACAAACACACTCTTTGACCCGTCGCACAGGCTGCCGACTCATTCTCATTCCTATCCATCGCTACGCAAGGATCTGCTCAAGCAAGAATAAGGGCTTTACTGTGCACAAGTCAGAGAGTGTGTCGTGTGTTGTACACTTGAACTACGCTGAGAACAAGACAAGGTTTCTTACAAAACAAAACACAAAGTCCCAAATGAGTACAAATCATTCTTTAATAAATCAAACAGAATTTCTGCTCCTCTTTGAGTTACACTGTATTGCAAATACCTCTATACATAAAATAGTATCTCACTGACAAAAAGCACCCGATAGGTCCAATAGATATATATATATATATATATATATATTTTTTTTTTTTTTTTTCCCATGTATGAAGTGATAAGAAAAACAAAGAGTGAACAAGATTAGAGACTGATTGAAAACTGGGCTGTGAAAAGCAAAAGCAAAATTGCATACATGACATAATCAATGGCTCCATCCCAAACTCTTCCTATAGTATAGTTTCTTACAGTTAACACTGCAGTCACGCCTTCATTTAAAACACCATGATCTAGTCAACAAAGGACGCATATTCTTTCAAGACTACTGGGAGAGAGAAATCAAGTTTGGCACCGCCTGCAGGGAGGTATTAATTCACTGACTTTTGGCTTTAATCTCTTAATATAATGAACCCCAACTTGAGTATCCTTTATCCCACATTTTGACTCCTGAAATGTAAACTGCAGCGTCACGGAACGAAGGCTCGGGGGCAACTATTAAGTCGACCATTTCTATTTTTTGCAAGGCACGTGGGCAAGACAGGAAGGAGGTGGAGCTTCCTGTTAGCTTTTGAGGAAGTGCTGAATGAAAGGGGGCTAGGGAATGCCAGCCCTGGACCCACAGAAGACACTCTGCCTTTGCAAACTCTGCTAAAGCTTGGATTCTCTCCACTGCTTTCAAAGAAGATGTAAGGACTCACTCAAATATGAGATAACGGTACAATGCCACGTTAAAAAAATCTACCCCCTGCTGTCCCTGTTGACAGAGGGAGGTTAGCTTTGGTTTTTGGTGTCACTACATCACTGTGCAGACAGATCTTTTACAACACGTGTAAATCCTTTCCTTTACCATTTTTCTTTACAAATGAATGAAAACATGCATATTGAGTATTGCTTTAAAATAGGTAGATAAAATGTGAGCACAGGCGTGTCGTACAAAACGTAGCTTAGCATCACAAAACTCTGGAGATCAACTCAAGCAATGTAACAATTTATGACCACAAACTGTGACTTGGATGTTTACTTCCTGTCTCATTCGCTGCGGACCTTGGACAGAGGAAAGGGCGTGTGTAAATAGTGCGTCTTGTTTTGCTATCAATGCTGGGCCTGCAAATAAACCCACTGATGTCAAAGACTTTCAGCAGCTGCACATGCTTATTAAATGTTTAAACACTTCTGAGAACAGCACATGAAAGTAACACCATGATCTGGGACTACTGGCATGAGCAGTAAAGGAAGGGATGAGGTAAGAGTGGGAGAAAGAGAGAAGTGAAAATTAAATTAAAGGGAGGGAAAAGAATGCGGAATAAGCAAGAATATTTTGGCTGTTGAGCTGGTTTAACTCCTGTCTTGTAGTGCGAGACTGAAGGCCGTTGCTTTCACATTGTAGTGAACTGACTGTGTGCTTGTCTCAGTTTTGCAGCAATCTGTCAAATTCAGAAGAAGGAAAACTCTCATGAATACAAAAGCAGAGGTTGGTTGTGTGATAGCTTAGTATCTTTGGTGAGGCAACAAAAGAGGACAGACTCCAATTTAATGTGACAGACGGTCAATAAATAAAAAAAAACTTTTACCGTCTCGTAAAACTTGACTTGCTCTTCCAAGTACAACTGCATGACCCTGTTGTAGTCATAGATACGGTTGCTATGGAAATGGTTCATCTCAGCTGTGCGGAGACAAAGAAGGGGGGGGGGGGCACTAGGATCAGATGATGTTACAGTAAACCCCACCACCTAAATGTTTCTGAGTGAGTGTGTTACCTTGTAATGAGTAAGACATGGTGCTGACTCGTTTAGCCATGGTGACTTTGTCCTGAGGGGTAATTTTACTGGTGGCCACCAGCTTGTCGGCCTCCTTCACCTTGTCTATGGCAGCCTGCACGAATTAAACAACACACATGATTAACAACATGAGAGTCCTCAGTTACACTGTACGAAGACAAAAGACAATTTAAATCATCTGTATCCAGATAAGGTGAAGGACTAATGAAAACCTGATTAACAATATTTTCTGGACTGTGTTGCACCAGCTATTCATCATTTCATTACTAAGTTCTTAGCAACTAATAGCTCGTTTATAAACTAGTGATTTACAGACTTCAGGAATGGCTTTGCTGGTATAGACTTTAAAAAGGTGCAAACTGGCTGTTGTGAAACATCTTTATCCCTGTCCAATCAAAAGCAATCAACTACGTAAACAGGAAGTCACTGTAGCTATGACATGATAACTAATATAAAAGTTTTAGTGACCAAAAGATATATTAACACTTTGTAAATGTATGTATGAGTGTTAGAAATACTGAAGTAGCTTAGAGTGGGAATGTCCGATTCTGCTGACCTAACAGATTTGATTTTTTAACATGGAGGAATATTGTGTTATAGTTATGAAATATTAAAAATATTAACAATTTACATTACTATTAAATAGCATTTTATTCATGTATCAAGTCAGATATGTCGACCATATCCAATTATCGCTTACTTTCCCCCCCCCCAATTAACTTTTACTCAAGAGGGTCATATTTTAGCAACTCAACAATTATAATAATCCAACAACTATTTTGAGCGGTGCAATCCATTTTAATTTAGTGATTAATATCCACTTATTAAAAAACGTTATCACTAAGCTTGAACTTTAGAACAGCTGGTGCAACTGGCTCCTGCTACAGAGCCCCTTGAAGAAACTGCCTTTAAAACTAGGTTAGTCGACATAAATTAGACATCCCATTAGATTTGTTTTTTAATAATCATTTCTGTAACTCTTTCCTGATGTACCTTATGGACTCCGATGGTGTCTGGGAAGCATCCCAGAAGACCTTTATATTCATTGTTGGTCTCCATGACGAAGTGGAGGTCTTTCTTTGGCTGGAAAGGAAGCAAATACAGAGACAAAAAAAGATAAATGTAACCTAAAATTGGAACAAAGTTAAATCCAAAACAGGAAATAGCACACATATCTGAATCTTAAAGAGAAGAAAGAATACAGGGAAATATTACACACAGGAGTAAAAGTTTTATTTTAACACAACAGCTCAACTGAAACACAAAAAAAAGAGATTTAAGTTTATAATAATGTAGATTCTCGTGAAGAGATTATGGATTCAGCTGAGCATCCGGTAGAACCAGACACAAAGAGTCGCTGTAGCACTGCAAACAACAGGTAAAGTAATACAAGAGGCAATCATACTTAGCTCATATCCACTTGTCCTGCAGTATACCTTGCTATATGTACTGTATATAAACTCCTACTTATATCTTCCCTTATTCTTGAATTGATCAAGGGAAAACTGTATGTAGCCTCCCAAGGTTAATGCAACAGATATACTGCATTGTTTTAGACTTTGGGCTATAAAAGCTGAATCCATGTGCAGACAATGGCTTTCGCAATTACTATCACTGGCATCGCTAAACTAGTGCCAACATTTCTACAGAAGCACTAAAGTGTCCAGAGCAGCACTCGCTTACCAGATGAATCCTCCCTCTGGAAGCTGCTGGGACATTAAAAAAAAGGCCCACGCTTGATTTTATTACACATCACAATGATCAGGCTACACAGAACGGTCCGAAATGCAAATAGCGGATCTAAACAAGAACTAGGAAATACTAGAGCTATTTTCCCGTGGGTTCTTCCTTTATAGATATAGACTTCACGAGCCGGAAGCTGGAATAAAGGGGTCATTAAAACGCCACAACTAGGAAGTAAACACTGGCAGCAAGCAGGAAATGTTCACAGACATTTTGAGATATTGCGATTATTGAGTGAGTGAATACACAATGATGTGGTTGATAAATGAGTCCAAAATAATTTTGAGAAAACAGAGGCCTTAAAGTTCTGCTCCACTGCCTTCTCAGTGAAGGTAAACCACTGCAGTGCATCAAACGCCCCTGCCAAGACCTTTGTTTGAATTTGAAGGCGGTGATCAGTTACAACAGGCATATCAACAAGAACCTACCTGCTCTGCCACCATCTGAGCTATCTCCTCATATGTCTTGCCTGCTGCTGTCATGGCATCAGTCAGGGTTGACTCGCCTACAGCAGGAAAGGGGTTAAAACATGTCATTGCCGTGTTTCTTAACAGCATCTGTGTGCCAATTTGTTTCAAAACAGATTTCGACATCATGAATGACTACATAGTAAATTGCATCTACATCTACCTCTACAATTATGATGACTGCAGTGGCTGAAAAATGCCCAAGTCACTCAAAATAACATTTGATGTCATATCTGTATTCACTGTTGTACCTTGGTACCCGCTGCTGGTGAAGACAGAGGAGAGGTTTTGGAAGGCTTTGCCGATCCTCTGGTACTCTTTTGGCAAAGCTGTAGAGGGAAAGAAATGAAACAGGCACAGACAGACACACTGTGTGAATGAACTTTTCTTGAGTTGCCAAAACACACAACATAACAAACCATACTTTAATATAAACAGTGATTACAGTACACAGTGAGGGTGTGGCCTATGTGTGGGAAAACATTTATTTAGCTTCTGTGCGGCGTGTACGTACGGCCTGTACATCTCTTCCAGTGCTCATTGCCCACTGTGAGGATTTCCTTTACCCCGTCATCCATGGCTTTGGTAAACTTGCTGAACTGCTCGCATTTCTGTTCCCTGTGGACAAAGGACGAGGGCAAGTGAACATGCAGTCAGCCATACACTTATTGTCGGTTCTTTCTGTGTCAGGTTTTTCTATTTGCAGTAGTTTTAGAATAAAGATTGATTTAACTCACACTTCCACAAGATCCAGATCCGAAGCTTCAGGCTCTATCGTGGTGAAGATCATCACGCCCACCGTCTCGTCTTTCTCTGCTTTTCTCTTCCCCATCTTCCAGTCCTGTACCAAAGAATCGCTCTTTAAGTAGGGAATAATAAAAATCTACAATCTAGGTTTTGGTAAGTACAAATCATGTTAGTCTTGAATGAAAGGTCTTCTATTCGGCTGTTGAAGAACAAATCTTATCTACTTTTCATCAAATGGTTGACTTTAACATTAAAAGCGGGACCTTTAAATCCTTCAGTAATCCAATGTTAAAAGCACATGTCATTCAAAAGCACAGAGGAGAAGAAGTGGAGGAGGAATAGCACACCTTCTCATCCTTGTAGGTGAGGAAAGTCTGGAACACTTCACTGCTGGAAACCACAGGGTGCCTGCACATTCTGGTCATCCAGCCCTGCAACCGCTCCATACGCATCTTAATAAACTCTTCCTCAAATCGCCCTGGGAGAAAGGGGAGGAGACAAAGACAAGATTTCATTTCCATGTTGTCGTTAGCAATGTTTATCTTCTTTTTTTTGTGTCTTACATTTGTTAGTCACAGAGTCGGGCACTTACCTGTCACCTGCTTGTCCGGCAAAGAGGGGATGGGGATGGCTGACCCGAATTTGTCTAGCAGCCTCTCATACAGCCAATCAAAGTGCTTGTATCTGTGATTGACTGGTCGGTTTGTGGTCTGGAAAAAAATAAAATAGGGTAATGAACATATTTGTAGATGGTGTATTTTCAATTATTTGGTGTTATCTGGTGTCTAAACTCCAGTTTAGTTCAATCCCAGATGTCAAAAATATCAACATTTTGAAAATGCCAGTGAATACTTACGTTGGGTGTGATTTGGTACTCGATGTAACTCTTGAGGCCGTACATCTTTGAGCCTTTCTTGGGATCAGCCACCACACAATCTAGCTGAGTTTCAGGGTAAGCCCACACGGGACCAACTTCTCCCACCTGAGCATAAAACATAAAGATTATAACCCGGATACGCATACAAACATAGGCTCACACCGGCAAATAGAGAAAACCTCATCGAACCATGCTGGAATACTACTCAACATCCTGTAGGATCGTCTATTAGTGCAATCATCTACCTGACGAGTGGATATTGTGCTCATGACTCATAACAAGTAAAGACATCTGATGATATAATGTAAACAATCTGTATGGATACTTAGAAGCAACCTACATAGATTGACAGCTTCTCTTTGCTCTTAGCAAGCTGCTTGCATAGGAGATAGAGCTCTGGACCAGACTTGGAGAACCCAGGAAACCTGCTCAAAGAGAAGGAGGAGAATTGAAAAATGATGGTCCTGACCATGCTCTTTTAAATCCTCCACACTCAGAGGCAGAGGACTTTAAGAAAATTAGCTTTGCAAATGTTTTACAGAGAAGGAAATGCATTCAACTCGTTTGTTATACCTCATGGAAACACAAACTAGGTTTCTGTGAGTAATCAGCTTTTATGTATGGCTTGGTACAGAAGATTCCCACTCTTGGTACAAAGAATTCCCCATGTTATTAATTAATGTACATAAGTTCTCAGAGTAACAGTGATATTCCTGGAAGCCATAAACCAAACTGAGCACATTCCAGCTAAAACACATTGTTCTGCACAAACTCATACCAGCTTAATCTACTTACTGAATAATTTTAACAGTTTAAATCACTATGTTTTTGCTAGTTTTCTTGTCAAGACAGTGATGTGCTGTATTGTAATATTTTACAACCATCGTCGCTGTTCTTCTGCTTCATCTATAAACCTCGAGGATTCAAAGCCTCGGGTCTTACTGCCTCATTCAGTCTTACTTGTTGAGGGAGATTTTCATTGAAGACGCATGAGCTCCTCCTCTCTGTATTGCTCCACCGTCTCCAGATTCTGACTCGGCGTAACCTCCAGCGGACTTCATGTCATCCCACTCATCATCCCACTCATCATCCTCTGCTCCTGAGGGCGGATAAATGATACAAACACATGGATGCGTATGAAATCACAGGCACAGTTAGTGCATATTCTGTGTTCAACAGCTTACAGTACAGTGTGTAAATGTGCAAGAAGCCAACTTTAAGAGTTGTGTGAAAATTCACAGCTGCTGGGGAAGCTTCACTGATACATATACAGCAGTTTCTGCTCTATTATATTAATTAAACACTAGCAGGAATGGACATTAAAAGGATTGTATCAGTTTTGTTTACATTACATTTATTCATTTAGTTGACGCTTTTATCCAAAGCGACTAACAATTGCTATACATGTCAGAGGTCGCACGCCTCTGGAGCAACGAGGGGTTAAGTGTCTCGCTCAGGGACACAATGGTGGATGGTCACAGCGGGAATCGAACCTAGGTCTCCCACACCAAAGGCAAGCATCTTATCTATGCACCATCACCACCCAAATATAATATAAACCAATTGTTAGTTGTTTCCATTTATTGATCATTGTGGCTAGAGAGACAACTACATGTTGCAGCATGAGTCTGACTAATATTATCTAAAGTAGATGAAATGGAGGGATATTTTAATGCAAATACAAAATTCATTCTTATTTCATAAATAGAAAAATACTCTGCTAAGCCTTTTCTTTGACCCCTAACATTAGGTTAGAAAGAGATTTTTCAAATGACAGATGCAGATGCACTAGCTTGAGGGCATGCAGCACTCGCCATTAAAAACATTGCATTTCTGTAATTTAAAGGACCAGTGTGTAGGGTTTGGTGGTATCTAGCTGTGAAGCTGCAGATTGCAACCAGACAACCCTTTTCCTCGCCATCCCCTTCCAAGCCTCAAGGAGAACCAACAGTGGGCGCTAAACTTGTGAAAAATGCAAAAGGCACTCTCTACAGCCAGTGCTTGTTTTATCTGTTGTACACTAATGTTGAAACACGGCGGTGCAAGATTGCAGACTTGATGGATGCGCTATTTGTTTCTCCACGAGAATTTCGATTTTCTTCTTTTTTCTTCGTGTTAAGTCCTGCCTCCTTATCTGCCTCTGACTGGCTAACGCTCACCCCACCCTAACCCAAACCAACCTAACCAACAGAGGCAGAGAGTTCCAGCCAATCAGAGGCAGAGTTGTCAAAAATCTGAAAGGGAAAAAGAAAAAGAACTCAAACCCACTCCCTCTGTAGATATAAAGGGCTCATTCTAAGGTTACAAAACACAACGATTCTTATTTTCAGGTGATTATACACCAACAAATTACTTCTGAATATTATATTCCATTACTGCCAATATTCCCCTACATCTTATGTACTGGTCCTCTAATGACATGCATCGCTATTAAGTGTGTAAACATAAACACGAATGAGTAGCAAATATTGCACTTTGCCCTTGTTGTGATGTATTAATTGTGTGTGCTAACACAAATAAATAGCAAATTTAAGGAATCTCTATTTCCATCCATTTTCTAAACAGCCATGCACAAATTATATAATTTATTTATCTGTTTGGCTTACCAGCCTCACAAAATTGAAACCCCATTTTCCTACAGTTCCTACAAAAGTTTCTGTCTTTTGTAGGGCAGACACGCTGTGAACCGCAACTTAAAACTCCACACATTGTGATTAATACATCATCAGATGTCAGTCACTACCGGCACGTTCCAACATCACAGTAAAGTTAATACAGGGTTAATATCAAGACACAAACTGAATGTCTCACCCACATGCTTTTAAAAATATAAATCATTTTCTTAAACTATTTGCTGGAAATGTCAACGTGCACGGGATACCTGTGTTATCGATAAGGTAAGGATACGGGTAGATGTCTTTGGCAAAAGAGAAACAAAGGAAATGTCTGTTAATTCTTCTCCTGCCATCTTTTCCCCACAGCTCTCTTTATACAATAACAACTGGAGAATTTAAAAAACAGGTTAAGTAATTTGTCCTTCTGAGTCATGTGTGAGGCTAACTTTTCCATAGTCTGGCAAGAACAGAATCATGACTTGATTGTCCTGTCCACATACTGGAGCATCGTTGTGGAGGTACTGGCCAGCGGCAGACGAGTGGACAGAACCACATCTGAGAGCTCAAATCACTCCAACTTTGTAAAGACCTGCTTTAAATAGTATTTGGAAGTAATAAATACTGCATCAAACTACCTGGAGTTTGAGATTAGAAGGTTTACTGTATATTCTCAAGGCATTTCACTTAGTATCAGGTTAAGTTGAAGGACAGTAAAACAGATACCTACCTTAAGAATAAAGAATATTATTTCTTATGTTGTTTTATGATGCAAACCCCATCTGGTACACCAAGAAAGTTGATTTTTAGAATTATTTTCCAGAACTACTTGACCTATATTCCACTCTGCTAAACATAAAGTCATGTTTCTTCAAGATTAAAATTAAGGGTGAAAGGCAAGACATTTTAAAATCATCTATGTCCTAGGACCAAGACACTTATCATAGTTGAAGATAATCTTACTCTTCTCAAACATTCAAGATATTTTCCAATTTTCACCCAAACAGACACCTTTTACCACATGTCTGGACAACTGGATTATAGTTTAAAAACAAACAACAAAGATTTATATAGGGTGTACTAAACCACAGAATCTTTTGAGGTGTAGAAACCTCTATTACAATAATCCCCCAAAAAGCATCCCAACAGACAGCTGATTCACATCAGACAAGGACATGATTCACAAACCACATAATCTAACTGTGTTGCAGTGTAGGCACACTAAATAGCTAAAAATACTAACTTTACAATGACATAAATACTGTGCAGTCTTCATTTACTAATTTAAATCATCTTGAGGTTTATATATGTACTAACACATACGTTTCCAGCATCAACCATGGTTGCCAACTGAAAAACTGCTCTTACCTGGGCCCTGGTAAGCCTGAGGGTGGCCATGTGATACGGAGCCCCAGGGGTCAGCGGGCACTCTTCTCAGTCTGGGTGCCCTCTGGATTGGACGCCCAGTTGTTGGAGCCCCCTGAGGGGTCTGCGTTCCACACAGACCAGGGATCATTGCCGTTACTAGCCTTGAAGAGACAGAGAGAGGAAATGTGAGTGAAAGAAGTAGAGAAATGACTGATCAAGTATAGAGAGGGAGAGAAGAGAGAGAACACAGAGTACAGTCTAGTTTGGAGTCTGTTTAATGAGAAGCTGATCGAAGTCTTCAAACAACATGCTTTTTCAAACACATGACGCAGACCGGGAATCTGCGAAGGTAACCAGCTTGACTGTGACACCGTAGTTTGTAAATGCCGCTTACCACATGCAGTAACTTCAAATACCAAAATATGACACAATACTGCATATTTGAAAAACGACACATGCTTACTATGATGAATGTGCACACACACACACAACCATTCTCAAGTCCATACTCCGCACGCACCCGCCCACAAACTTCAGAACTTATAAGCTAAAAACGCAACTGCATGCCATGCTTGCAAGGCAGACATGCTGTGTACACTACTATGAAACGTGTGGGCAGAGGCATGCTATAGACGTGTATGTTTGCCTGTTGTAAGTTGCAGTTAGCTTAATGCTAACCAACTACTGCAGGGTCACTTAATACACCACATAATGCATGTAGACATACAGTAGAGTACTGGAAATTAACCAGTTGTTTCACAATTATTTTTATAAAATGCTGCAATGACTTTGACACCAGGAACACAGCAGTGAGGAACACTCAGCGCTTTTCAGATGTAGCAGCACCTTTACTGTACACAAAGTAAATAAATAGATGACATTTTATTCACACATTTTCACAGTCAGTCTAAATGGCCTTGGAAAATCATTGAAGATTCTTGATGAGTTAATGTTTTTGTTCTGGTCTGATGATTCGTAAGTGTGACAATTACTCAATTAAAGATGAGATACAAAGTTTCACTTTGGTGCTGATTCATACAACTAAAAGAGAGTGTGGTAGTTGACTGGTGACATGTGTATGTGTGCGCTGAAGTGCGAGTCGAACGGAGAGTGTGAGATCATGCTGCAGACAGTCAGAGTAGGAGGGGGAATTTGCCTGAGCAGACCAATCAGAGAGGAACGGGGCTTGGGGCAGAGAATGGGTAACAGTGGAGGGCTAGGTGTCATGCCACTGGCCTCATCCACCCCCCCAGGTGGCGGTTACCTCATCAGGGGACGAAAGGTAGGGGGAAACTGGGGTGTCTGGGGTGTCCGGCTGGGGACTTATGCCCCCAGCATCCACCTTGAGGGGGGAAAAGAAGGTGACATCATCACACAGCGCCAGCAGTGAAGGTTTACACTCAGCTGGGGATGGGTTAAAGTGATGCTGGACACAGATGTGCTTGTGTGTGTGTGTGTGTGTGTGTGAGAGAAGAGAGAGAGTGAGTGCATCAGGGATGATGGCTGACACATTTCCTGCCTTGACTTAACAACTTACTGCACCCAAATTTCTACTGATCCAGCAGTGCGCTCATACTCATGGAACTTCCTGTCTGCTAACGACAAAAGATTTCACTGAAGTCGTTTCCTCTTGGTTCTATTTTACTAGAGCTAAAACCTGTGTCTGTTATAAATGACATGACCACAGTAGATATCTTCCACAGCAGCTGCTCTCACTTCTGCATCTCAAGGGTTCTCACACACACACACACACTGCACGAACGTCAGTAAAGCTCCATCATCGCTCACTTCTGCTTTCTCTTCCACATCACCCCATCACACATACTTTGGAGAGGGAGAATGGGAACATGGCAGGTGCACTGGGCAAGGTATTTTCACTTACTTAAATATACCCACCTAGTTCAGTAGGTGAGTGCATTACCTGGTTTTGTGCAGGTACTGACGGGGGAGCATAGGCATCAAAGATGGACAGGTCCGGAGGTGCAACATTTCCTACACTTGGAGTAAGTGCAGTGGTTCCTGCTCCCGGTAATGATGGAAAAGGGTTACCGAACTATAAAAAGATTAAAGACAGAGGGAGAGACAGAAAACCGTCCCATTAGGAGAACAAATCCAGATACTCCAGTGTGATTTAATGACTTTTAAAGGTACATTCTTCTGTAGTAATGTGATCGTCTCTCTTTGGTATTCCCTGGCTTCGCAAACTGGGTTTTCAACTTTCTCAGTCAAGTGTGACAGCACTGGCTAAGGATATTTAAATTTACACATTTAAATCTGCTCTACTGCTTGTCAATATGAAGATACCACACTTAAATTATTCTGGGTATGTTTGTAGTTCAACATCCATTTGGTTTTGTAGATTTCTTTTACCAGTGTAGGGTGCACTGAAATAGAAAGTACTTTCTTGGGAAACAGGATGTGTCCTGATGTTTTTCATTAGATATTACATAAACAAGTGCAATTGCCATCAGTGGGTTTTTATGACTTAGTGTGAAAAAGCTAGGAAAAAAGGAGGTAACTTAAGGTCAGACAAACACACAAATCCACATGAGCTTGTTTGCTAAGTAAAGTAGCCTCTCTCGTACACACAGACACTACATTGTTGGATGTGTTGTTTAGAGTGAGGCTGAACTGTTAAACAGACTCCACAGACTTTACTTTTAACCAAACTCTCTGTCTCTTCTTAAATGTCTTCAGAGTGAATCATATCCTCATGATGAAGTCAGAGTCACTGGATCAAGCTGGACACCCACACCCGACACACACAGACACACACAGACACACACCCTAATCAGCAAAACCCTGAAGGAGGCACATCCTGTTGTGATTTTACTTTCAAGCAAGAGACAGCACCACAGTCTGCAGTCAATGCAGAAACATATCCATGTCTATGACGACAAATATCTAACTGATAGAGGCACTGAGCTGTTGAAAAGTTAAATATTTGGTATATAGTTGGTTCACACTGTGCATCTTGACCTTAAAGCATGATAGCAGACAGCTTTATATCTTAATTTCCAGGAGGGTAACCTATTTTAGATACCGTGTCAGATGTGAGAGGTCATGCACTAAGTGACTGTCTAGCTTACCTCAATGTAGTCTTCAGGCACCAGTCCAACATTCCCTCTAGAGTTCTGTGCTTCAATCCAGCCGCCTCCAATATTCTGAAATAGAGTGGGACCCAAAACAACATGTCAGCATAGCAAATGACCTGGACTGGCTCGGGCCAGCAGAGTAGGTGTCTGCATCACATACAAAAAAAGAACATGTTACGGGGGGGGGGAGGGGGGGGGGTCAATGTGTTTCAATGCACTGCAGTAACCAAATTCCACTAAAACACACATTTACACACAGCTGGTCTTTAGTCAGATATCTCCTACAGTATTTTCAAATGATTTGGTTGATCTCACTTGGTGAGAAGTCACACTAAAGCCTTATTTCCACTGGATGGTTTGTATTAGTTAGTTTGGTACCAGGTACATTTCTCAATTTCATTTTCCACTGCATAGTATGGGATTCTGCTGATTATCATAGCGGCGTCTCATGAAAGTGCAGCGACATCACCTTGCAGTCACTATTGATTTTAACGATGTCCTGTGTTGTGCATGTGACAATTCTCTCTGACCAATCAGTGGTCTGCAGTAGAGCCCGACTGTTATGGGATTTTTAAGACTGATACTAATTTTGATATTTGGGGATTTTAAAATCTATTATATCTGCCTATATTCTTTTTTCCCCCCTTTTCTTTTCAGAAAAACACAATTATCCCTAACATTTGTTACGTGCGGTTATGAGACCTCAACGAAATAACGCAGTTTAAAAATAAACTTTCTTTAATTGTTATAAATAGTTGAACAAACGTACAGTTGATTGCTGTGTTTTGTGTTGGATTTGTGGTTTTCCAAGCATGTGCGCTGCCAAAAGGGGGTTGCAGAGTGCCCTCTGGTGGATAAACAATATAACGACAACACTCATAACATGACTAATGCCGCATTCAGACCAACCTCGAATTTTCGCCTGGCGACACTTTCCTCGCATGAGTACATTCGCTGCAAGTGTTCACACACAACGCGAGAAGGCGATTTTAACGCGATAATGTAAATATACACAACTCGCCTTTACTACAACTGTATGAACCCAAAGTAAACATTTTGCTGTGATTAAATAGCAATAAACGGATTAAACTGATGCCGAAATAACTACAACATGATGCAGATTTGTTAAACATATCAATTCGTGCTTTGTCAGGTCTGTCAGCAAGACAGCAGGACAACAACTTTTAAAATGTTTGTTTTCTGAATGGAGTTTGGATCGATCAGGGCTATGCAATGCTAACTTGGTCACAGTAAAGTACAATGATAGCTGAAATAAAGTTACAGACACGTTTTCTGAACTCACCAGGTAGTTCAACTTCCTCGCTTTCTTTTCTCCAAGTGATGTCCAGTTTAGTCCGGTTTTTATATAAATATGAAGTCTTGTCCTACAGAGCTAACGACGCTAACAACAACACTGCTGAGAAGCTCCAGTGAAGCTCACCGCCCCGAACGCTCGCTTCGCTTTTGGTCTGAAAGCACCAAATGCGTATTCCCTCTGTCATCTCAGCTCACTTGGAACCTCGACAGAGGAACCAGGAACCACGTACTGCGCACAACATTTGCCAGTGGAAAACCAAAAAAGATGAGATCCAAAAAAGTTGAATTGAGTTGAGCCATGCCCTACCATGCAACGGAAATTAGGCATTGTTTGAAAGGACACACTACCGGTAACGATGTTCCCTTTGATCCTGTTGCTCTGCTGCTATAGCAATACTTACATGCACATGCAATTACGTGCACTTCTGCAGAAACCCTGCAGGGTTCACCAGAAAAAATTAGCTGTGTTACTATAGCCGTGTTTCTCTTAATTCATTATGGCAAGTAAGGAAACCCGGTGTCCCATTTACACGTCCTTTAAGAAATGAGGTTAAAGTAAAAGCTGATAACAACCAGGTTGCCAGAGTATCTGTAAACACAGTGAATGCTCCCAGGACAAATTCCCCTGTCAGTTTATTTAGTAGAGTCTGTTCCTTATACAGTAGGCTTTGATTAGAAAACTATGTAGGTCTGCACACAGTGAGTGACCTTTGAACTGTTGGCAAAGTGCTGTAATGACATCATGTTTTTAGACAACCTGAGATCATGTGAGTTGGGCCTTTACACAACTGTTGCTTTTCAACAGCATTGTAACAGAAGAGTCACAGACATTTAAATTTTAGGGTACAACACACAAAGCTATAATAGTTAATAAAACTAGACTTTTAGGCAGAAAATACCACCACTGAAGAAGACAATGATTTAAAGAAAACTGAAATTTCATAGTACAAGCTGACAATTTATGAATTAAATCAAACTTTCTAGGAGCTAGGGACAGAAGGAAGGTAGAGGAGTGCTGGTATAGATGTACCTGATTGGTGATAGTGACTGTCTCGCCTTCTTTCACCGTCAACTCGTTGTTTCCAGGCTCAGCAGTGAAGTCATATAAAACTTGTGCCTGAAGATAATCAAGAAAATGCACACAAGGCTTTTATGACAGGCTTTAAGACAGCTCAGGAGCATAAACACACATGCGTATGTGTGCATGCACACACATATATTAGCAAAGCACCCAGCATTTTAAATCTTATGGAGTAAAGTTAGGACTCTGTGAAACAGGCTAAACTAGTTCTTCTGGCAATATTGTGTGGACTCTGTGAAACTATGCACCAGTATCAACTAAAAACAAGGGCAGAACCATCACGTTACCCGGTTCAGGGTAATACAGGAGCCTGCAGTTCTTCTTATACTGACCCACATCTGCTAATCTTCCCTTCCCCCTTTGGCCCCTGGAGACGCACACAAACAAAAACAAACACATCTAATAAAGAGTGTGAAAACTAATCTAAATATGACTTCTCTTTTCACGGCTGACTACCCAGCCTACCCACTCATTTATTTTCATACGTTTGACTATCCAAATTCACTCGGATTGCTAGTTCTTATCCAAACTAAAAAGTCAGCATGCCATGTGTTATCAAAACATTATCTAATTCACAGTGCCTGACTAACTAACTTTTTCATTAACCAATGACGTGGAATGCAAGGCTATTTGCTCTTCCTTGAACAGAGATCTATTTTGGTGCTGGCCTGCCACCTCCCTGGAGGCGAGCAAGCTGGATGATGAGACAAAGAGTTATGAATGTTTCTGGCCACAGCCTCAGCTCTGCTGGCTCAGTTACTAATGGTATGTAGTGAAAGCTCGTTGTTCCCGCTTTGGGGTCTGCTTGGGATCTGGAGTCCCCATCCAATCAAATCTGTGTTTTTCTTATTACTTTACTTGGAAGATTGACCGTTGACACTTCACTGCTCACTTTAAATCTGACACATGCACCGATGAGCATGATTTTGTGACATCCCAACTAGTTTGGATGCCAATCCTGGTCCAATATGCAACTTAAACAATGGTGATGTTTTCAGTGACAGTTTCTGAAATCAACAACATCTACCTAATCATCCATGCTGTATTTTTATCCATTTCTGATTATGACAAGAGGTGAGAATTAATACTTTATTTTTTGTGGAAAAAACATATCAGACCCCCCCCCCCCCGCCGCACACACACACACACACACAAATACAAAGCCTTAGACCAACTCACCTATTTTCTGTTAATTATAATAATACTCAAACTGTTCATACTAACAGTAGCTCAAATGACTGTGTTAATAATACTTAAACCAACTGTATTAATGTTGATCACGCACTGTAATCGCTCTCGAAGATTAACAATAACTCTCACTTATACACACTGTACAAAGAATGAACAAAAAGCCAAACACACGCCAAAGACTACATTTCCCAGCATTCCGCGGAGGTAGCAATGACCCGCACTGGAAAGGTAGTAAAATGTCACAAGACACTTTCTTAATGAGAAACATTTTCCATGTAACAGCAAAAACATTCGTATCACATTTACCGCATGCAGACGTGTTATAGGCGTCCATTACACGCTTCCAAACTAGAGTACTAAAATGTTTGTGACTCTTAATATGAAGCTCGTCGAGTGTAGATCTAATGCGAGCCACTCTGCCTGTGCTCCTACAAGTCCTTAGCCCGCATTTTTCGTACAAGAAAAAAACAACTGTCAGGGGAAACTGGAGCAGGTAATACACACGGGTTTTAGTTAAAACAGCCTGGGAAAGTTGCCAGACTTACCTTTAGCGCCATTGTCGAAGCATTGATCAATCATTACAAAAGCAGGCCCTGCAGTTTTCAGGTTTTCCAATCCTCAGCTGGACATTTCCCCCTGCTGCTTTTCAACTAAAAGCGAAGAAAACACGGTGATTCCTCCCGGTGGAGAGCCGCCGTACCACAGACTTTAACACATTACTAAAAACAGCGTGATACTTAAAAACTCAGAAACCTGCATAAAGCACGGTAGTAGAAGACTGGTTCGGTGCGACTGTAAGTTTGAACCGCGCAGAGAGCTGCTGACAGCACGGAGGGAGTGACCTGCACCGCGGAGAGAAACCGGAAAGGTAGTCTAGGGACTATACGGAACAGCGGCCCTCCAAGACGTCACTATTTAAATTACAATTAAAATGAAAGTGGAAATCGTCTCACTTAAAGTAAAATATAAGGAACAACTACAACGCAAATAACATCAGGCAAACCAAAAAATGGCAAAATGTTAGAATCACAAAAATAAAACTTAGCTAATAATCTTAACAGGAAAAAAAACTTTTACAGTTATTTATTAACCAGTGAAGAATTATTATTATTATTATTATTATTATTAAATTAGTAATAGCATCAGTCAAACTGTTATTAGGCCTATGTCTAGTAAAACAATAGCCGCCATCCAAATGTGTCCTTAAAAAAATCCTAATAAGTTTTTGAACATTTGAAAATCGTCGTTTAAGTCGTTTTTATTGGTTATTAAGTCCTATGCCATTTTCCCGAAATACATAAACTTTGCTCACAGGTCCTAACGACATTAGGCGAGTTGATTTTATTCTTTTCTTCCCAAGCAGTAGTCAAGATCCGGTGTGTTATTCTAACCTCAAGGCAGCTACTGTAGTGTGTTTACTGACAGCGTTGTTGAAGGCCCACGTAACGGCTGAATGGGAGCGACCCTGGACTTATGTCCTATGCTGAAGTCAGCCTCTGCTGGGCTCAATGTGCTATTGCATTACAAAGAAAGGTCTATCATTGATGTCTGTGGTCTGGATCGGACACATACACACACATCTACCCTGCAGGTTTTTATCCTTAAAGACAAAACATCAGAAATAATTTGACTAAAAAACTAGAAAGCTTGTTAAATTTTTAGCCTTGTAGGTGCAAACACTGTTAAAAGTCTTTAAAATGTTAGTTGTTTAAATCTGAGATATTGGCAGGATGAAGTTGAATCTCTTAAACCAGTGTCAGGTCTGGCTTGATGTAGAGACCACCTCTTTACAGCCGTTTTAATATTTTCCTCCTCTACAGATACACACCTACATGCGTACTCTGGGCTTGCTTTGCTGTGCTGTATTACTAGTATTGAATTTACACTAAAGAGTGAAAGTTATCCATCCTTACTTCATGTGTTTTGATTTACTCTCAGGGATGAGGGCCATCCTATATATCTTGCCCTGTCCATAATATCATATTCAAGTTCAATTGCTAAAAGCTCTGCATTTTCAGTAAGCACTGAAAGCACTTTAACTGTCATTTGAGGTGTAAACGATGAAAGCAATTAAAATTTTATGTTGCATCGACAGAGATAGCTCCCTGTAAATATTGTGTGTCCGTTGATGTGTAGTGGCTGAGGGCAGTTGAGATTTCTGTTAAAGCTGAAGTGCCAGAGCAAGTTGAAGTGTGTGATGTGTAAATAGTAATAATAATAATAAAGATTGACAGTAATTATGAGAATATGAGTGTTCATCTCATCAAAATGAGAGGTACGCCTTTGATTCCTGCTCCCTCCTCGTCACCTCCTCATATATCAAACAGCTGAGGCCAGCAGTGGTCTCACTTGTCTGTCAATGGGAAAGAACCGGTGGAACAGGTTGAAATCAATGTGGGAGTAGCTTAGAGGGAATACAGTTTACTGCAAGTAGGTGAAGCCCACCTGACCACAGCTCATTGAGAGAGACTGATATGATTGTGTAGTTACATGAAAAGACTTGAGTGGGAGCCTGAATCTGCAGAGCACTGAGAATAAGCTTTGAAAAATTATTAATTTGAAAGTATGGCACAATTTAGCACAAAAATAAGTAAAATCCAGCTGTTTGTCGATCCACAAGGGCAAATACCAAATGACTAAGCACTTTTTGCCTGTATCACTTGAGTTCATCTAGCAACACAGGTGTAGGAGGAGGAGGAGAAGGAGGAGAAGGAGGAGAAGGAGGGCGGGAGGGTTGGAGGGTACTTGGAAACACTACAGACGGTGAGCTCAGTTTGCAGACCTTCAACTTCACAGAGACATCATGCGCTCTCTGCTTCCTTTCCTCTACCTGTTCTTGTTCGGGACAGAAAGAGCAAGGGCATCGGACCATACCATGCCCTTCATGGAGTACCTGGACCAGGACCGTTTGGTCTGCCTGATGTGGGGCTTTGATAACCTGGAAGGGAACATTACATTCGAACTGGTAGTTAACACAACAGGCTGGGTGGGCTTTGGCCTCAGTTCGAAAGGAGACATGGATGGGGCAGATATTGTCATGGGAGGATTTGGACCCAGTGGAAGCTACTTCAAAGTAAGCTTATTACCAGATCTCTTTAAATATTGCAGCAAAAATGTCTTGAGTTTAATTGTTCTGTGTTTCAACAGCCAATATAGCACAATGTCAGGCCGATATCAGGCTTTCTGCTGTCTGAAAGTTTTGTCTTTCTGTCCATTAGGATTATTACGCCACAGGAGACACCATGCCTTTGGTGGACAAGCAGCAGAGCTACACTCTCCTCTCCCTGACAGAAAGTGAAGGTCAAACCATTGTAAAATTTGCAAGGTCCATTCAGTCATGTGATGACCAAGACTTCCAAATCACTGTAAGACGTTACAGATAGAATCTTGCAACTTTTTTACCATATGTTCTGCGTGTGTTTAGATGCAAAACTGATGAACATCTGCAGCAGTATTATGTAAAATATCAATCTCACTTGAATTCAAATGTGTTTTTTAAAAAGTGCAGCAGGATTTTCCATCAATACAAAAATTTACTTTTTTTGAGTTTTCAGTGATTTATCCTTTATTTGGTTTTCAAAGTCTTTTATTTCTTCCAGTCAAGTTTAATTGCTTGGAATTTTCACAGAATAAGTGATGAGATTGGAAATGTCCTCACTATATAGAGTCAGAAACATGCCAGACTGGTTGAAAATTTATACAGGAAAAATAACTTTTCCTGTATAAAGTTTCAACCAGTAAACAAACAGTATTAAACTAATGAACCATGTTTTGTAAGAATGGTGGAATATTACTCCCTCAAGTAAGCCGCCGTTTCTGATAACGTGCGAATAGGCCAACGTCCCTAATGTACTCATTACACCTCATTCCAAGTTTTTTTGTTGTTCTTTTTCAGAGAAAGACCTCTAACCTGAATCAAAAGCTTTTAGTACTTTAGTCTTTTGTATTGATTATCTTCTTCGCTATGGAAAGCTCAAGTTTCTGCTCTTATCCATGTAAATTCTGTTATATGAGTTCTTTTGTTAGGTTCTCCTGAATGTTCCTTTGCCGAACATTCAGTTGGGTGTTTTCGTACATGAAGACAAAGGCAACAACACAAAGAGGCAGAAAAGAATTTGTTTAGCATTGAACACCTGAAATGCTATACATTGTTTGGTAATAAAACCTGGCTGTACACATTGACATTTGTGGTTGCGGACCTTTAAAGTGTCTCTGTTTATCGCTTGAATTTAAAAAATAACTAGTTTTGTAAGGTAAATAAATACTTGGTTGGTTCGTTTGGGAACACAGGAACATGACATATACCTTTCCCCCCAATAAAAGCCCACTCATATAGTCACTGGTATTGTGTCATATTTGTTGACTCAAACTGCCATCTCTTTTATACTGTAGGCTGAACCCATTAAACTGATCTATGCCTATGGACTAACAGATGTGATCAGTTACCATGGGGCCCGTAGAGGCACCAAGGAAGTCAACCTGCTGAACTATATGCCCAGAACGACCTTAACCGAAGTCAGCTATCTCAGAGCCAGAGTGGACAATGTAAGAATATTTGAAAACACCTCAACACATTTCTTACGGGCGAGCTGGAATACATTGCAGTTCTTTTGGGGATGAATAGATGGATGACAATTTAAAAATATAAACTATTACACAAGTTGTAGCTATTTTGTTTACCTTTATCTTAATTTATTTACAGATCACTATCCCTCCCAATAATACCTACTACCACTGCAAGGTCATGAAGTTTCCAACCTTAAATACTAAACATCATATATATCAGGTAATCATTTTTTTTTTAAATTACCGTCAACACTGTTCAGCCACCTTTTACCAAATTAGCAATGTAATGCTATTCTTTACATGAGGTGTTTGATTTACACACCACTGTCAGCTTTCGAGTGAATTGATCTGACAAAAGTAGTTACAATAGGGTTATATGTAGGGGTAAGGGTTATTTATCAATTCCTAACTGTGGAAGAGTAGGCATGATCTAATACAAAAGTAGTCCTACACTTAAAAAGTGAACTATCATCATGATTTTCTTATTTATTTCTACCTTAAATCACTATTCTTTCATTCTTCTGTAACAAATCTCTTCTTACTCAGGTTGATCCGGTGATTGAGCACCATGACATCGTTCATCACATCCTGCTGTACCGCTGCCCCTCTGATGTGATGGAACCGTACGACAAGCCGTGCTACATGGGCGACATCGGAGATTCGTGCTTTGGGGTGGTGGCTACATGGGCAGTGGGAGGAGGGGTGAGGGAGAGTCAAGTGTCTTTTGTTTTTGTTGCTTGTCTTAATCGGCATATCACCATGTCAGTGTTGTCCTGTTGCAAGCTGATCCACCGTTTTTCTCTGAACCCTCAGGTATATGAGCTCCCAGAAAATGCCGGTATTCCTATAGGAGGTGAGGACAGTGATGTATTTTACAGGCTGGAAATTCACTACAACAATCCAAACAGCGAAGCAGGTAAAAAAATGTAGATCCCTTCATACTGTACCATTTGAGCCGTCAAGCACTTTATTATTTCACTTGCATAAAGTTGGGGGACTCACAATGTGGTGGTGATGGTGCAGTGGATAAGACACATGCCTTTGGTGTGAGAGACCAGGGCTCACCTCACTGTAACACATCCACCAATGTGCACCTGACCAACACACTTAACCCCTAGTTGCTCCAGCGGCGTGTGACCTCTGATATACTTTGCAATTATAAGTGGCTTTGGATAAAAGCATCAGCTCAGTGAGTAAATGTAAATGTGATGTATTTCCCGTGATCAGTACGTGTTGATAATAACACACGGTATACACTCATACTAACACAGTGTTACATACCGTATAAACAG